CCATCGCTACTAGGTTGGAGGCCATCACTACTAGGTTGGAGGCCATCACTACTAGGTTGGAGGCCATCGCTATTAGGGTGACCGGGACTTGATTCGTGGCCTGTGGAGGTCCCCAGGTGAATGGAGGTTCTCGTCTCCGGTCCTCGATGGGTTCGGTTGGTAAATGCAAAACGCTCTTCAAACGATGAGCTGAATCACCCGGAATCGTTCCATCGTTCTGCTCAGGCTTTGGCCCAGGAGTACCAAATGGACAGAAGTCTAGCCATGGCCTGCCCATGGAAGCAGATCTGCAAGAATCAAAAGGTGTACCCTGGGCCTGCGCCCTGCGGCCCCGATCCGATCAAGACACATACAGCATCATACAGCAAAGAGACAAAGGGATATGTCTTTGGCCAAGGGCTCTGCGCAGTTCCAATCCTGCAAATCATGTCCTATGCTGAAAGAAACTACTTCATCCTTAGATTTGAGGACGCGCAAAGCTCATCAAAACTTCACACCGCCCCCCTACCTACAAACATATTTCATCAATCCTTCATCTTGACAGCTTTGTTTCCTGTGGTGAGGGGCCTCTGCTGCCGGAATTGAGGAACCTTAGTTGCTCTTCAGTTGAATCTTTTGAGAGCTTCAATCCCACATAAGCTAACATCGTCATCAACATCTGCTGATGTTTCAAGAGAGAACTTCAGTCAGTGCAAGCCCGGAGACCAATGTCGGAGGGATGCTGTACGTATGCTGTACGTTAGGAGCATGCTTTTATATAGCCTAGAGATGCCTAGAGGGATTGTTCGGGGGGTGGAATATGTCTTGCCTAAACTGAGTGGTCTTGGCTTTAGATTGGCTTTGGTTTAGTTGTTCATTTGTTGTGTGGTTCCCTTGGTCTGAAAAAGCTGGAGGGGGCGCAGCAGTACTGCAGCACCTCCCCCAAGAGCTGCGCTGAACATGTTCAACAGGCGCTAGCAAAAGGTGTTTTTTTCCGTTTGCAAGGAGGAGTCACCTCCTAATATGGCTTGGGCTTGGATTTGCATATGTGTGTTTCTTTGTGTGTGTGGGCAAACAAACGCCAGATTTCGCAGACGCAAGCCCCAAAAGCAAAAAGACACATGAGCTACCAAAGTCAAAAATCACAGAAGCCACATGAAGCCACCAAAAAAAAAACGGGGCCAATGGCAATTTGAGGGGATTGATGGGATTGGAGTCGGAGGTTGAGAAATTCCGTCGTCAAAGCCTCCATCATCCAAGAGAGAGTCGCCCACCTGTTCTCACCTTAGGTTCTTTTCCCCACACACTTCCACTAGTCCCAGTTGGGATAATGATATTTAAATCTACCTTGATGATCCTCCATGTTGTCATTCATGGCTGCTGGATTTGTGACCTGTCACCGAGTTCGTCATAGTTCATCAATGCCCATGTCTAGCGCCAGCTCTCTGCCAGCGATTCCAGTGATCAATGCCGTCGAACGCCAGGGCACAATAGTTCTCAAAGGATCGAAAGCTGTCTTCGCCTTGGAGGACTGTGCGAAAGCTGCAACGTGCAACTGGAGATGCGAGGAGATTCAGTGGGTCCAAACCTGTCCAAAATAGCTTGCCAATGGAATCAGTGGACAGACCAAAACGGCCGCAGGTGTCTTGATCCAGTCCCAAAAATACAATATAAATCTGGTTCATCGTTCATCCAACTTGGTCTCCAGCAGTCAGCTGCCAATACCACCTAAGCATTCAAGCAAGCCAGAGGTCGACTTGGTCAAGCGTCTCAAAGTTTTCAGTGTCTCTCCACTGAACCTGCGCTAACCCACGCTCCAAGGCCAGCGCGGCCCAAGCAAACACCTCAGGCCGCAGCTGCTGCAGTGGAGTCAGTGGGGAAACATACACACAAAATGTCACCTCGATTGCAAAAGTGGTGGGATGTGTTCCGTTTGGGCGCCCCAAAGAACGAGAACATCCAAAGCCCTGAATTGCAGAGCTTGAGTTGCTCTCACTGAGGAGATCATTACCCATCTCATGGCATTGTGACTCCCATTTAGCACCAGCCCATTAGTTGTCCGCGTAAATGTGAACACATGATTAAGTAGCCCCCCCAATCAATTTGGCCCAACTTCTTTGCCCAATTTTCCTGCAACGCTAACCGCCCATGAAGATAAGATATTTTCAGGTGCTTGTTTGGAGCCGTCTGGTTTGGAGCCGTGTCCCCAAACGCACCGCGTTTGGAATGGCCAAACCACCACGCAGCGCGGTCCCATCGCGTCCCGGTGAGCTTGGGCAGCTCGGGCCCCTCACCAGGATCGGCATGGAGGCCGACACCAAGCCCTGCGTCACATAGAATCCCACATGGGCATAGTAGAAGGTGAGCGCCTCGGCGCGGCGCTGGCGCTTTTTCTGGGGGTCCGTTCTCGTCGTGTGGGCATTCTCCGAACCTCGGCATATATTAGGTGTTGTTCCGGGTGGCTGGTCGCCCACAGGGTCGAGATGTGTGACCGGGTTTCCGGGTTTCCCCCTCCGAACCTCGGTCCGGCTTCACCCGGATGAACGCCGACGGCGCCCGAAAAAAGGGGGGAGGCCGGGGAGGTCTTGCAAAGGTCTCCCGGTCGCCGGTCGCAGGAAACGTTAAAAAACACTTGAAACCATGGGTGTTGGTAGACTCGCAAGCATTTGAGGACTGATTTTGTTTGAAACAATTGCTGTACTTGCAGTTTCATGCAGTTTCCTTCGATCTCCAGAATGGGTGCAGGCAAAACGCCGCACGAGGGATGGTAGTCCCTTCGAAGCATTGCAAAGAAACATGAAACGTCGACCTAACAGGCGCTTATGGATGCTTATGGTACCAGTACCTATAGCAATCGACTAGACTAGACCCTGCGGTGTTGTATAGGTCTTTGAGGAATCCCCAGCTTCCTCTCCACTCCCCCTCTTCAGGGGTGCCTCGGGCAGGTGCAGCAGCTGCCCCAAGCGGAACATCTGTCGCGTGAGGATCTGCTCTCCAGCGCCCGAGGAGAGCCTCGCGAACGCGAACGTGCGATTGGAACGCGCGGCGATCCGCAAGTTGGGCCATGGCGATCCCAAGTCTTCCCACCATTTCGATCATCTTCAATCCACTTCGTGAGGGCGTCGTTCGTGAGGGCGTCGTTTCTGTCCGAACCGAACCCAAACCGGTGGATGGACGAACGCCGCCGATGGACGAACGCCGCGGGGCTTGGAGAAGAAGCCCAGCACCGTGTTGAAGCCCAAGTCGCGGCCCTCGCGCAGAGGGAGTATGAAGCGGATGAAGGGCGACGGTGCAATGGAGAATGCAACGACGTCAGAGTGTTCACATTTTCAGAATCGTCACTTTGCAGCACCTTCTCATATTGTTTTCTCAACATTATTTGCATGTATTTGCATGTTGACATTAGAGGATTCTAAACGCAAAGGAAGTTGAACGTCTGACAGTCTGAGGTGTCTACGTAGCCAGTTTAGCCGCTGCGTCCTTACAATATAATGAGAATCGTCACCACTCGCTGGCTGGCTCTGTTCCTCTGAGCAGCTCGTTGTTGTCATGACCAGATTCCCGCAGCTCGTCCCGTATGTATCATCTGAGGTGACGAGCTGCTTCAGTGCGACCCTCCATGTCTCAACCAGTTGGCCATGTCTGCGAATGAAAACGCATGGGTGACCGGGACCATCCCTTCTCTGTTGAGTCAAGAGTCCAGATGATTCTTTTCCGGGGTAGTTGGCTGGAGATTTTGGTGGTTGTCATGCTCAACTCGTTGCCGATCAAAGCTTTGGCCTCTCTCTTTGGCCACGTAGGCTCGGCTCATTCCCACCTTGGCCACGTGGAAGTACTCGCAGTGCTTGATGCTCCGGCCCTGCCTCAGTGCTCTTCTCCGCAGCGCGTTGTCACCCCGAGAGCCAAGAGCAGGGAACCACCGAAGAGGCGTCTATTTCTCACCCTTCATACCTTCGCAAAGGTTTAGAATTTTGACCTCTGAGATGTCCTGTCAAATGATGTGCCCAATCTACCAGTACTGAGGGGAAAGCATTCTGACAACTTGATGTTGGGTCCAGGGCCATGCTTAAAGATCTTGAAGGCCAGTCTCAATTCTTCAATTTTTGCCTCTCGTCTTGCTAGCATTGTCCAAAGGGAATCTCATAGAATGGCTCTGACCTATTCTATCCTCGTACCCCTCCTAACAACCAACCTAGCATGTTCACTCTGACGCAAAGATCATGGTCAACATCCATTGACAAACCAGCTCCAAGGGACCCGGCCGTTCTCCACCCCGTTCTCCACCACCGTCTCCCACACCACCCCGCACCGTACACTGCTACGCCCGACCGGGTCCGGGCCCCGCGGCCCACGGAGGGTGAAGTCCATGCCGGCGAAGATGTCCTCCGACAGGTTGATGGTCTTCGTCGCCTCACCGCGGCCGCGCGGGCGACGGAAGGTGTGGGGCAGCCGACGGCCGACTGTAGAAGGACGGTGGTTGTTTCGGGGTCGGCCCCGTGGACTGAAGGTGTGTCAAAGAAGTAGTGACCATTGGACTGAAGCATTCCATGTATTCCAATGTATTCCATCATGTTTCATGGACAAAACAGGCTCTTCTTAGATAGGAACATCATCCCTGCCTTGGACACGCCGCCCTGTTGCATCATGTACCTCATCCAAAGCGGCACATGTTCTGTGGATGCAATGAGATCAGTAGTTTTGTGCTACGTACTCTGTTCATTCATACCTTCGATAGATCCGTTAGACCCCCGTTAAACAAGAACAGAGAAGAACCACCGGGGACCCTTTTGTGGCAACCCCCATCAGCCACCCACAACAACGAAACCACGACACACCAGCTCCAACATCCTGGACGTTCGGTCTCTAACGCTCTAGGAAACATACATAGAAACAGGATCAAAACATCTCCAAACATGTGGGCCTCCAAAACCACAATGCTTGGCAAAATGGCGTCGACTTGGCGTGAGATTTCGCCAGGCCTTTATACAATCATACGTGGGTCTTCATAGCGAATTATGCCTTAGTATACCGTTTTTCTGCATGTTCAAAAAAACAGCTGTTTAAAGCAAACGCCAACGACTTTGTCTTAAAGTACCTTTTACACTGAAATGTGTTCTATGCTACGTCAAGGTGTTAAAAGGGCGACGTTCTCCAACCAAACGGCGACTTTTGCCGACCGCTAATTTGGCAACCTCTTTAAAAACATGGAAACTGCATGTGTTTAAATGTGTTTTGAAATGAAACGCTGTTTTTGAGGGCAAGCGACTGAAATGTGCGTTGTTTCGCC